AGCTCTTGCGAGACACATATTTTAACAAGTTGAAAAAGTCGAAGGGTCTGCAGTTGAGAACAGTGCAACATGTAGTACTCTTCCTTGGATGTCCAAATCCCCAACATGTCTGGCTAAAAGCATGGAAGTTTGGCTCTGTGATTACGCTAGCATAATCACAGAGCCAAACTTCCATGCTTTTAGCCTGATACTACAAGCACAACCAAACAATAAGATTTAACAGTTAATAGAATTATTATGTTGACTGCGGGTATCTTAGGAGTGCTGAGAAATGGTCATAGACCACAGATGGTCGTGATTCGTTTATTGGGAAAAGTAACTGCAAGATAATCAAGATCAGGTTCTCTTTTTAAGAATACCATAAATCTTATGTGTAATCTGGATGATAAGATTGAACTAATCAAAATTCATAAACTGATTGTTGGAGTGTTGTACTAATAGTGTCAACTAATAAATTTGTAATAAATAAAGTGTATGTTGTAACTCAATTTTTTTTTGGTTTAAAAATTTTCAAACCAGTTTAATATTTGGTTTCTTTTGTTTCTGATCCATTACTACCATCTGAGACAAAGGAAAACAAAATAAAACTGGTTTTAATTTTTTAAACCAAAAAACAAATTTGAACCACAACATATACATGTAAAAGTCTATGTGGACATGTTAAAACTCTTACACTCATGCCACTTTTAGGGCCATATTTGAAGGAGTCCCTCGACACGTTTGTGGTAGTACATTGGTCAGTGTCAAGACAGATGACCTCTAGACATTTTTCTGGTAAAAAGAGTGAGGTATTGATCTTTGTGGAGCGTGTGCCTTTAGTATGTAGCAGCACACAACCACTGCCTGTGGGCGCCTACACCTGGCTCGTGAACCATCTCAAAAGAAAAGGATGCTGTTGTCGATGTCTGCGGCAGCAGTGGTTATGCAATGGTGGCAGCTTAAAGGCAGGCCAAAAGGCACTGTAGCTGAGCAGTGCACCACATTGCGAACTTAAAACATCACAGCCAAGGATTCCAACCCTCTTACTTTGATAAAACTTTGAAAGGATCTTTGATACATATGTGTCTCTGAACAGCTTACAGCTCAGAGTTTACAAAATTCAATATCACAAAGGTCCCAATGGCAGAGGTTTTTCCATTCCCGTGTAAGTTATAAATAGCAAATCATTCTTTGCTGTCTATAGTCATACCAAAACCATGGTAAATAGTAGGTTGTGAAATTATTATAGCTGTGGAATTTGACATAGGAGTTTGTTTGATTATTGGTACTCCGTGTTTAACTGTTCTGATGCAGCAGATCAACACTTACCACTGTTCCTCTGCCATTGTGGAAGTTTGTCTTAGGATTTCTGAGTGATTTTTTTCTTTTTTCAGCATTCTATATGGAGATCAGAATTTCCCAATTCCATTTTGATCTTTTTTTGAAGATTCTGAATTCTTGTCAGTCTTATTAATTTGGATCAGAATTTCTGATTTGTTTTTTTAGAGTTCCTTATTGGGATCAGAATTTCTAAAAAAATCACTTTTCTTTCGGAGTTCCTCGTGGGAATCAGAAATTCTATGCTGAGCTTCTTATGGGGATCAGAATTTCTGAAAGTTTCTTGGACTTCTTTATGGGCATCAGAATTTCGGAAGGTTTTTTGGACTTCTTTATGGGGATCAGAATTTCTGCAAGTTTTTTGGACTTCTTTATGGGAATGAGAATTTCTGAACGTTTTTTGGACTTCTTTTATGGGGATCAGAATTTCTCAAAGTTTTTTGGACTTCTTTATGGGGATCAGAATTTCTGAATGTTTTTTGGACTTCTTTATGGGGATCAGAATTTCTGAATGTTTTTTGGGCTTCTTTATGGGGATCAGAAATTCTGAATGTTTTTTTCGACTTCTTTATTGAAATCAGAATTCCTGAGTGTTTTTTGGACTTCTTTTACGGGGATCGGAATTTCTGAACGTTTTCCTTCCAAATTTTCATGGAAATCTGATCAGAAATTCAGAGCTTTCTCTGGAGTCCTTTAGCGTGATAAGAGATTAAAAAACAGTTTACAAAGTTGGAATAGTAACTTTGCAATTCTCTCGGAAGAAATCTGGGATTCCGAGGAAAGAAACAAATCGTTCTTGTAAATTTTACATTAACTTTTCTATTTGGAGAGAAAGTGAAAAATTACCCTTGGAATTAAGGGCTGATATTGCCTTTCCGAAAAAACTGTCCATTCTGTTCTGATCGTATTTTACGCTGTTTTTCGAACAAACTTGAGATACGGCTACGTTAAAAAATCATTTTCTGATGTAAGTTAAAACTTTACGCGGAAAAATAAGTCAGTTTAGGTGTGTATCCTTTTGTTTACTCGGAATTTGTCCAAATCGGAACGCCACATTTTAGTTTGGAACGCGTTGAATGAAGAAACATTACGACTTCTGTGTGCAAGACCAACAGGCCCTTCGATAACTGCGATAACTACCCGAAACGCATGCATACCTGATCAAGATCTTAACCTTTCCTTGTAATTTTTTTCCTTGCTTTGCAAGAGCGACTACAAATAAAGTCTGGTCATCATAAAAGATAGAGTAACGCAAATGTACTTAATATAAGCTTCCTTTTTTTTTCTGACAGCCCTCTTGTGACGTTGTGCTGTACCGAATCGTAAAACACAACTACTTATTTATTTTGCTGTTGTCATCTACTATCCCTCCCTGAGTGTTCGCTATCTCGTTTTCTTCTTTAAATGGGGTTTCTGTGTTTCCCTGCAATTAGAACTCACTTACTCATTTTAAAAGCAAAGACTTTTATCATAAAACGCAGTGAGATAAGACTGAACTGTAACCACGTTTCTTACAGTCTTTTCATAAAGCGTTGCCACAAGAAAAGATTACAGAAAGTAAGGGACAGAAGGGGCTAGGGTAATAATATGTAACCTCCCCTGCCAACAAAAGCAAGCTAGCTCTTACTCCTCCTAGTCACTGAAAAAATATGACTAACCCCCACTCCCCACTGACATTTGAATGAATTCACCCCTATTACTGTAACGTTTTAAGACGGCTGCGCAGGGAACAGTACCTTGAAACTACCTTCGACGGAGCGTCCATTTTAGGATAGGCCGATTGCGCATAGTCTTCTGAATCGTCTTGTGAATAGCTGGATGCAGCTCCCAATTATTTGCGTCACCTAGGAGCCCATAACTTCAATGTAGTCGTGTCACGGCGTCTTTAATAACCAGCACCAACAACTTTGGTGCGAGTTTTAAATACATTACAAGTCCCACAAACCAGACCGCAAAACCTACAGACCTGAAAATGAGCTCCCTCGCAATCTATGAAACAAGGTAAATTGATTCCCATTAAGCCATAAGGTGAATGTTATACACATTCACTTGGTAACTCCAAAGGAAGAGTTGGATGAAGCAATTCGAGTTAATCATCCATTAACCTGAGACAGGAGTTCTTAATTTTCATTTTCGCCTCTTAAAGAGAAAGAGAAGAAGGACCGCCTGATCGCAGAAGTGAACAAACAAAATTTAATAAACAGAGGTAATATTGGAGCAAGTAGCTGATAATGTTTGTGTTTCGTATAGGAAGTGTGCATTTATTTACTGAGTCGTTTGTTTCTTGTCTTTTACCTTATTATTCGTTGTTTTGGAGACAAGGCAACTACTAGTGCCAGTCCCTCCCGAGTACTGGATTTTCAAGATGGCTTCGCTTTGTTATTTTCTAGTTTTATTCCATGGTTCAGCACTTTTTGCCGTTTCAACATGTAACAGTGGCAGTATTTCGAGCTTTTTGATATTTCCTTTACCTGCTGCAAACCATAGCTGACAAGGAAATAGGGGAGAATAAGCATGAAGAGGACTTAAAACAAACACGAAGGGATCGGCCTATTTTCAAGAAAAAGGTTAGCAACGAATGAACTTCGCTTGTTTAATTTTGAGGAGTTTGTGAGCTTCACAAAATGGTCAAAATTAGCCTACAAAAATGGCGACCGAGGGGGTCAAATAAAGTGATGCTCGTATCTCTAATACAAGAGCAGTGAAGAACCTATGTTTATTGTATTGGTCCATTACTCCACCTAACCTATCTATTATGTTAGTATGAGCTTATTCTGTTGACCCTCTTCCGTTCACATTTTTAACATTTTGCCCGGTTTTCTCAGACAACCACTCTTAATCAACTCAGCCCTGGAAAGACGAGAGCAAAGATCGCTAATGTCGAGACACCCATGCGACAAGTATGGGGAAACGTTCCACAGTTTGAATGTAACAGGAACACTCTATGGTTACGCAATGTTAGAACAGGTCACAGAGTCAGTCCTAAGTAATAAGGTAAAGCGAATCAGCTAATCAAATCCATAAGTGAATGAAACTACGTTTACATTCCGAGAACTAAAGCGCCCCCACCCGCCCTCCCCTTCCCACGACCCCTTGTATATCGTCTAACAAAATTAGTGAGTCGAAAGTGGATTTGTTTCTTTTTTCTATTTATTGAAAAAATGGAAAAATTATTCGCAACACTCGTCATTTTTTCATTTTTCTTGTTAAAATGGAATTATGGAAAATTAGGCGATAGGCATAGGCATTTTTCCATTTTTTTGAATGCAATAGAAAAAATGAAACAAGGGTGCGAATAAATATAATTTTTTTCACTTTTCCGTTTTTCTCCTGGTTTTTCTATTTTGGAGGGAAAATGGAAAAATAGAAAAATGAGTTAGGAATCGAAGATTATTTCATTTTTCTCACTTCAATTAGAAAAATGAAAAAATATCAATTTTCCTGACCGTTTTCCTTTTTTCTGTACCTTAAAATATATAAATATGACAAGGCTAAGTAATATTTCCTTTTTCCGTTTTTGTTGGAAAAATGAAAGATTAGATTGGCCGAAGTGTGCACGGACCCGGGATAACCTTCGCAGATAGAATGGCTGCATTTTGTTCTTTTTCCGCAATAACAGGCGGAAAATGCGGAAGTAATCAAGGATGTGTAGATTTTGTGAGCTTGAATAGTTGCAACATTGACATTAGTTCACACCTACTGAATCACCACCTGTCAAGGGAAAATGTTTGTGAAATGGATCTGATACTGGCAAGGGCAGGTCTATTAGAACTCACTGATGATCAGATCAAGAATACGACGGTTTGTCCAGTCCATCGTTACACATTGGGAAAATACTGGCAAGCTCCAAAGACTTGGCAGTATCCAAAACATCACGGGCCGAAAATAGCAATAGCCGGAACACATGTTATTAATTTCAAGACTGCAAGGGAAATAACAAAATATCTTTGGAGAAGCCGTTCCCGTTGGCTGGCGTAAGTACTATCAGACTAGCAACTATACCTGTTTTATGCTTTCATTTTATAATTAACATGTCAGAACTAAAAGGTTTTGTCTTTCTTAACATTACAACTAAAAGCGAGCTGTAGACTGAGGGGAAGTCCCATTCTATATATTTTCTGAACGATAAACGATCGATCCTGTATTTGATAGTATTTTGCAGCCAGAAAATCATTTCCAAAAAAATAACATATCAAATGGTCATAATGTGGTTTTTGTAGTTCATTACAGCAATAGTTCTTTGCTGTGCGTCATCCATAAATCTGGTCGCTGATTTATAGACTATATAATATAATTTCCAAGATGGGATATAAAGATATAGCTTCTTTTATCAACTTAGTAGTAAATCTAGTATTTTTTAACAAGTCTTTCCAGGTTGCAAAACTTTTTTTTGTTTCTTTTTGTTACTAGCTATTTGCACAACTTGCAGAAAGAAACACAGTGAAGAATTAGATCGGAAATCAGACTGGCTATACCCTGAGGAAACTGAGGGAGATGTGATCGTTCAAAGGTACTGTCGGAAGGATAGTAGTTTGGTTGTTGTTTTATAAAAAACACACACACGGTTGTCCTGTCAGGTCATCCTATCGCAAGGCAACTAAGTAGCAGCCTTTCTATTTTTATTCTCGGCAGACCTGCTAAAAAGGCTACTGTGGGAGCCATGGGTCGCATGGTCACTTCGACTCCATTTTTTGAAGACCAATCAACGCCAGCTTTCTGGAATCCCATAACATCATGCTGGACTCCAGGGTCAGAAGAGGCCTCTTTTACTTTACCCGTGGTAACCGATGCAGTCGGCAGGTATAACGAGGCGATGGATACAATTGCGAGTCTTAATACACAAGAACAAGTAGAACGCGAGCCCCTTAAATATCAGCTTAAAACTCCATTCCAAAACTTAAGCGATGGGGAACAGTTGAAATTTGTAAAAAAGGCTAAAGGGGACTGCTTGCACGTATGTAATGTAATTGCCCTAGGTAACGGGGAGGAGCTCTTCGAGTCAATGGTGTCTGTACAAGGAGAATTATTTGATGGCTTAGCCCCCGGAGATCTTGTGGTACTCATGACTGCTTATAAGAACGCGAAGACCAGGAATTTCAAGAAACAGATTCCGAGCCTTTACGCTCATAGATACCCTATGACCAAACTGAAGGAACGGAACTCTCTCTACATGAGAAATGAAGCAAGCACGTTCTCATGCTAAAATGCACGGCCCTGGGACCATCCCTGAAATCAAGACGAAGCATCGCGTACTCCTTGATATGGGAAAGGTCGACCACTTTGTAGAATTCATTAATAGACCGTACTTTTATCAGGATGTTTCATATGGTAACAAGGTAATCACCCTAGATAATGGTGACAGAATTGAGATGCCTAACGTTGTAAGGATCCTGACAAGGTCTACAATGATTGAGCAATACTTAGAGTATTGCAAAGAGCAATGTCACGATCCACTTAGTAGGTCTTCTCTGTTTAAAATATTGGAGGTTCTAGAAGCGTCTCAGCGTAAATCGCTCCAGGGATTAGACAAAACGGCTGCAGATGGTGCTGCGGGCTTTCAGACTATCGAGACGCTGGTTGAAACTCTTGAGAAACGACGAATGAAGAAACAGTGGTGTCTACGTATTTGCCAAAACCAACGCGAAACTAAACGCTATCTAAAAACTGACTACCGTGTGCACTGTCAATAGCATTACTCTACTTGCGCTGACCATTGTAGAAAGTTTGCGCTTAGTGATCCTGTTGATCCCGAGCTCCAGCATCCTTGTCTGCATCAGCATCAATCGACTTGCGAGCAATGCCAAGGGCTGAAGGACGTTCTAAAGGAAGTGAGACTAGCGATTGAAGGGTCATCGTGGAAGCCTTACAATTGCGAACAACGAGAAAATGTCCTTTTCGACTTTGACCGTGCACCGTCAGACATCTTGTTGTGGAAAGTGCACATTGTGCGCTCAATAAATCAGGAGGAGGCGAAACAAGATGCACTGGAATCAGAAGACCCACAGTCTTCCATTCTAATCATGGACGGGGCTATGAAGTTCCTCCAAATAAATATTCGTGAGAAACAGTCTGCATGGTTCGGCAAACGGGGGCTGAGCTGGCATATTTCCACCCTTAAACTAAGAATGTTGACTCTGGAAAAATTGAGCTGAGATCGTATGCTCATATCTTCGACTCTTGCCAGCAAGACTGGTACGCAGTATGCTCGATCATCGAAAACACACTTGTCGTCAGGGAGCATATGTCATAAAATAAATCTCCGTGGAATTTTTATGGTGAAAGCAAACCACCTACCTAGATGTGTTAAGGGAAACCTGAGGAACACAAAAAATGTTGTCGGCAATTTTGTAACCTGCACCGGCAGTCGCTATGGGGGTCTGTTTTTAGACCTATATCGAACAACATGGAATCGAGGCTCGAATATAAAAATGGCGTGTAAATACAATTAACTACAATAAATTTCCACAAAAATACCAGAAATCTTTAATATACGTCTGTCTAATACATATCCATAGACTTAAGTACTAAATACTGATCACATGATCAACACTGCACGAAAGCGAGGCTGGTCATTTGTTGGCTTCAAATAAGCATCAAAGGCATGAATTCTGGTATCGAAAATTGATCAGAGAGTTAAATTTATCAAAGTGAGTATTATTTCATGTTTAAAAACTATATTCAGATCAATAGCTCATTGAAATCAGGAAAATCAATGATTTTGGTCAGCGGTCATTTTCATCATTTTTTTTTTGTTTAAGAAGATATGGAAACGGATTGTGGTTCAAAAACAAATGAAATTGAGGCCCAAGGGTTGGATTTACATTTATGTATAATTTGTCAAAGGAAAAAAACCGAAAATCTAGTTGAAAAGCCCGAAGCACATGAAAAAGTGTGGGTATCGATCAAGGAATGGAGTAAATATGGCAATCTTCAGTACACAGAAGTGTGGAATAAGTTGAGGTTTACTTCTGTCCAAGAGCTCGAGGATGGGCAGGCATCATGGCATAGATCATGTTATAAAGCTGCAGTACATGCTGGAATGCTTAGACGAGCAAGAGAAAGGTATGAGAGGCAGCTCGAAGGCCCCAGTGAGTCCAGGCGAAAATCACGACCACGTTCATCAGTAGAAATTCCTCAACTAACCCGTTCGTAAACGTCTCCCTACAATAAGAATGTCTGTTTTTTCTGCGATGGCCCACCCGGTTACCGTAAGAACCTGCATAATATTAGTACCTTTTCTGCTGGTGAGTCCCTTCGCACTGCCATTGGGATATCAGGGAATGATAAGCTCTCGGTTAAGCTCAACACATCAATTTCTCCAGATGATGCTCATTCGATAGATATAAAGTGCGACAAAAACTGTTGGGCAATTCATGTATCGCACGTTTTACGAAGAGAAACATCCGAATTATCATCTGAGAAGTTGGCTGGTGAGATTGCAGCACAAATAGAATTCCTGACAATGACGGAGATGACTCTGTATTTACACGCCATTTTATATTCGAGCCTCGATTCCATGTTGAACCATATAGGTCTAAAAATGGACCCCGGATAGCGGCCGCCGGTGCAGGTTACAAAATTGCCGACAACATTTTTTGTGTTCCTTAGGGTCCCCTTAACACATCTAGGTAGGTGGTTTGCTTTCACCATAAAAATCCCACGGGATTACATATGCTCCCTGACTATTGAGGTTGTAAAGAAAGAATATCCCCAGATTACCCAAGTGAACCTAAGGAGTGACGAAGCAGGCTGTTACCACAATAACTTTCTCTTAGCCGCCGTTAGAGATGCCAGAAGACGAGTAAGCATTGAAGTAGCACGGTATGACTTTTCCGACCCGCAGTATGGAAAAGATATCCGTGATAGAATCCTTTGTCCAATGAAATCATCCATCCGACGATATTGCAATGAGGGACACGATGTCGTTTCTGCGATAGACATGCGTGTAGCGCTTTCAGAACGCCCTGTTCAAGGTACAACTGCCTCCGTGTACGCAATGAATGAGACTCAAAAGACACTCGAAGTACATAACATGGAAGGTTTCAGCAAGTATCACAATTTCAAGCTTGAAGTGGAAGGAATTAGAGCATGGAGAGCTTATGGTGTTGGACTGGGCAGGTTTGTTCCTTACCGAGAGGTCATAACTGAACCTCAAGGTCCTACTGATCTCATTGTGCATGAGAACTTCTTTCCTCTCAAAGAAGCTCGAGTATATAATAGAGAGACAAACAGTGAAAATGAACAATGCAACGGTCTTTTCTCTTGTTCTGACCCCGGGTGCAACATGGTTTTCAAGAAATTCAGTGAACTCGAAAATCACCTTGATGTTGGTGAACACAGCCAAGTTCGCCGAAACTCTGATACGGTTTATGACAAGCTAAGAAGAGACTGGGCGGATAAGGACGAAGAAATCAGAAGCGTGCCTGAAGCAGTTGGAGAGGAGAGTCACGAAAAGAATGAAACTGGCCGCTCTCCCCAGTGCAGTGACTTGCAGACTGGATGGGCTCTACACAAGCCCCGAAACGAAGCTGTGCGTTTTCCTACCGAGGTTAAACAGTACCTAATAACGAAATTTGATCTTGGAGAAAGAAAGAAAAAGAAGAACTGGCATCAAGTCAGATCCCGCAAAAGTGGCAGCAGATATGCGAACTGCAAGAAACCCAGACAGTTCTCGGATATTTGAAAGGAAACATTGGCTCACAAAGGGTCAAGTACAGGGATTTTTTTTCAAGGCTAGCGGCCTCGCGAAGAAGCAAAGCACATCGGAAGGCGCTCAATGAAGACGTACAGGCGGAACAGGAAGAGCAGGAGAGACGAGCCGTCCTGGAAGAGGTGGCCACCCACCTTGGTCCTAAGCATCCTATCTGCTATGATTCATACTGTTTATGTGACCTTTCACACGAGAAGAAACTTGAAACATTTACCGTTGCTATGTTCAAGGCCATGTTGAAATACTTTGAAAATTCTTTTAGTTCTCGCGATAGAAAAAAAAATTCTCGTAGCAAACCTATCCGATTTTCTTGGAGGCTGTGACTGTAATCAGCCGCATTAAGGCACAAACCGCTAGTAATGCACTTATCAATTGAAACCCCGACCCCCTCCCCCCCACCCCGGGCCTATGTGGGGCAATGTGGGGGATTTTTATGGTATTTGAAGGCATGATTAGCCCTTGGGGGTGGGGGATTTCTCAGGATTTGCTTAGCATATTCATGGAAGTCCATGGAAGTCGGGGAGCGAGGTGGGGATTTGACTCGTGCCTAGTTTCCTCACGGTAATTTCTTCACGTGATCACTGGTATTTTGATGTATTGCTAGGCCGTAAGTTTCCTAATTGTTTTTCCTTTCATTTCTTCACTGAGACTAATCCTTTGCGATTTTGCCTTGAGCTTTCATGGTTCGTTGACTGGAAATTGTTATTGTTATTCAAAACTTCTCAAACAATGCAGATACAAACTCCTCTACTTATTATAAAAGGTGCTGTGTCACGGCTATCTGGTTTATTTTGTTAATATTGCCAGTTACGTGGTCCCTATTCGCTTTTGAGCGTTACGTTGGCAAAGAAATGAAGAAATCAAAGCTTCGTTTTAAACAGATGTTTCTCCCAAGCATATCAAGCGTTACGGACGAAAACAATGAACTTTGAAAAACTGTTAGGTTAACAAGTTTTCAAAAACCAAAATTTCAATCCGTTTTAATCTTCTTCATGTTTTCCCACCTGTACCTTCTTTTGTATTTGCTGAGTCATTTATACCACCTTTTAATGTCTTAAGCGGTTATTTTTATGTTTCACTCAATTTGGTGGCAGTTCCCACAGCCTACATTTTGGTAAATTTCATGACACAGCTCGTTTAACGTCTAGTGTTAAACCCATGTGGTTTCTGAAGTTCTATATTTCCTCATTCTTTAAGCCAAAATATAAAATATAGCTCCTAGGAACTATTTTATGCAGTCTATTTATAACATCAGCTTGTGAAGGTTAAGGTATGTTGGCTGCTATTTTCAATTAAACTTATCATTGCAGATATTACTTTCAATGGAGATGGTACGGATTTCCTTTTAATATAACTTTATAGCAATGTGCTACTCCATCATCCATTTTGTACCCTGACTTTTTTATAAGTGGGTAGGGGTCATTATGTTTACTTATTGTCAAATATTTGTTGTATTTATATCTTGGTCTGTTATCATATTTGCCTTTTTGCTGTAGTAAATTTGTCAATATTAAGAAGTTGAAAATTCGAACGAAATATTAATAAAGTCAGTCAGGGAATTAAAAAGGTTTCCCCACCTGGGTGGGGGTTTTACCAGTCAATATGCCCCAGGAGGGTGGGAGTTTGCTAAGATTTGTAATGATGTCAAGTCAAATCCCCACCTTGGCCCGGGGTGGGGGTCGGGGTTCCAATTGATAAGTGCATAACCAACAGGGGTTTCAACCTCGAATTAAAAAAGATCGTGGAGGCTGCAGTTATTTTTCAAAAACTTGAAAAGACGTTTTAAGAACTTTATACTTTGTGAAAAGTCGAATTAGTTAGTAGAGGGCCTGCCCCTCGGCTAGTTTTTCTTTCTTGACACATAAATAAAGTTTCTATCTATCTATCTATACGCGTGACAAGCTAAAAAAACTGACATTCACGCGTAGCCAGCGTGACGGGAAATTAACACTATTCAGATGATTTGAATTTCGGCTGCATTCTACCTGGTGTTTGTAATAAAATGTGTGATTCTTTTAAACAGGACTCACTTTTGTCAAATAATTTATATGCTTAACCTGAATGAAAAGCTTTTTCTTTCTTTGTTGATCATGAAAACCTACGACCAATTCAACTGAATGAAATTTTGTAAACAGCTTTTTAGAAGTAAACTTAGACGACTGACAACTTACGCCGGAATCGATAATTTCAACTATTAAACTTCGCAATTCCTAGTTTGGCGTAACATTTGGTAAGTTGTTAGCTATTCACAGTTCATCTTGAACAATAAAAGCTACTTTTTAATATATTTGCTCTCTCGGTTTGTTTTTCAGTGAGAAAGTTCGGAATCGCCAAAATGCGTAAACTACGTCATACGCACAATTACAGTAAAATATTACCCAACTTTATGGAAATTCTTGTGCTTCGGAATCAACATTGCTCAAAAATGTTTTTCTTGATTTTGATACACTAGCTCTAGTACTGAACAGGGAGAGTGACCAAGACTCCAGATAACGTCAGACTTTTCAAAAAAGCTTATTTTAAAACTAGGATAAGCGCGCATTTTTTTCAAGGACGCTTTACGTGGTATTTTCAAAACGTCATAATTCCTTTTTTGGGGGGGTCGGAATTTAAATATTTTGCCTTTTTTGAATAAAGGAAGCATGAATTAAAATCATGGTTTTGTTTTATGCTATTTGGATAAATGCGAAATTTTTGCGAGCCTTGAACAAAACGCTTAAATTTGACCTTAAAAAAGACGATCATGACAGGTTTGGACCGTCCAGGAAAATCGCCGCCCAAATTTTTTTTAAAAAGCAGTATGAGCCAAACAAATTCGATTTTTGTTAATAGAATGGACTAATTATGTCGCAGAAAAAAAAATGAAGGAATTCTGTTTTCCGCGGAAATTCGAGTGGTCGGTTCTTACACGGACCGCCTCTTAATTGTTCATTTTGTGAAATTTTATATTAGAAGTAAAGTGTTTAATATTTACAGTTTAGGGTTTTTTAGGGTATGAAAGGCTTGTATGGGTATGGTAAGTAACATACCCATATGTTTTTCTAAAGTAACCCTCCTGCTGATACAGAAACCAATATTTTAGAGTTGTGTCGACAGTGTCAAATAGATCTAACATATAACCTAATACATATTCAAGTGAGATTCACCATGCCATTATTTGAGTCCATCTTCTTACTCTGCTTGACAGGGCCTCGGTAATTCTCTGCTATTTATTTACCGACTCATACAAACTATTCATGACAGCAGACCGTCAAGAACACAAGTGACCAAACATGATCAGGCATTAAAGATAGCTCACACGAACTCACAAACTGTGCGTCAGCTTGGAATGAGATACATACAGTAATCATTAGCCGATACATTCAAGGACTTTGCTCGTTGCTGCTCGAAATTCAGTGCTCGTCATTATTACAAGACTTTAAGTGTTTCAGGAATGTGATGGTTGCTTTAATAAGAAAATCATTCCAAATATTTAGAGCACTTCATCCTCCAATTTGTGCGGGTATCAGTGTACACCACGCCACTCACTTGCTTCGCTCAGTCTTTTAATCAGTCCTACACCATATCCTCGCAAAGAAAGCCTAGTCACTCTAGCAGTATTAAGTGGTTCTTTACAAGCTTCATTTCGTGTGCCTGGAGATCTTGCAAGAGAAGACGATTTGTGCGAAGAAATTGCACTTATTGAGCTTGTTTCGAACATATAATGCGCAGATATACACCAGAGATTATCTCAAACACACCTCGGCTGTGAAGTCGGCCCTTTGGGCCACTAAATTAAAGGGACTGGTTCACGATAATGCGCATGCGCGCCGTTTGTCTCTTCAGAATAAATTTGTCGGGTCAACACTAAATTCGAAATCGCCATTACCGGTACAATCATTGAAAATCCTTCGTTTTATTCGGACATCCGTCGCTTTGGCTGGTCTAGTTATACTTCGGTAGTGGTGATTAACGTGTGGTTGTGTCGTTTGACTGGTTACGTTTTAAGAAGACGCAAAAAATAATGTTTTGATCATGGAGGTTCAGAAGAGCATCGTGGCCGTCCGGCAACAGGACATTCTCAAGAGTCTTTGGAGATAGAGAAGCTTAGCCTATCGATCTGGTATGGTTCTAGGAGTAGTGTGTGGCTTACGAAAAGTATACACGACACTTGGAAAGTGGTTAAAGGCATGAGTTCGTTCAACTTTGATTTGATTTTTGACTCCGACCTGTAGTTATACCGCAACAGGCCGCGCGATCTTCACCGATCTGGTACACTTGAAATGTTCCTTGTATCTTTGCTTTACGATCGTATATGTTTAAGAATTGATGTTTTTAAAATAAATTATTGCCTGAGTATTCTGTTTATAATCTAGTTTCTTTATGTGTGCTACTCGATAACTTTTGTTTGGCGGAACACTGACCCGATGCAACGCGAATGAATTTGTCCATTTGCTGATAAGCATTTGAAATTTATGCTCAATTAAGGATAATCTTTATACTCATACGTTGTGCGTTTTTGTCACCGGTCAGGTGCTATTTGTAGGTATTTCTGGATTTATATAAGGCGAACTGAGAGAACAGTAATAAGATGTTTGTTTACAAATTTTGTTTGCCGATCGGTGACTGCTTTGTTAGCGTGGGTACGACCTCGTAAAAAGACACGTTGGTAAATGTTTGTTTCAAAGCAGGGCAGGGCTGTAAATCTTATTCTTATCGGCTGCAACATATATCTGAGGAGTAGCAAAGAATAAACTTGAATTATGGGGATAAATAAAATCAAACCAAATGCCCGGAAATACTCGCGCGTCGCGAACAATTAATTTAAATTTTGTAAATTTACTTGCATGCATCTAACTCGCTTCCGATTGGTTGAAAAACAATCAGCTACTGTCAGAACTCACACATGCGCATTATCGTGAACCAGTCCCTTTAAAATAAAATAGCTTGTTTTTTTACCCAGCCACGAAAGCGAGCCATGATGCGCGTATGAC